TGGGGGGGGGTGTGCCATAGCCACCGTGATAGTGCCTCCCGGACATGGCTTAGACCTCCATGCTTCGTATGGGCAGTTTGCTTTGTGTGGAAATAGCTCCTCCAGAATTCTAGTGACTGTTTTCTCCGGGAATCTTACAGGAAGGTAAGTAGGAGGAACTATTGCCCCTACTTCCTGAGCTCTTCCTAGGGATAATCTGCCTGGTCAATGGGGGACGCAAAGGTCCAGCCCTCTTGCCTCAGGTGGGGCCAGGTCTGGAGCGTCACCCCCACTCCAGAGCCCCTTGTGGGGGTGTCCTTTGTTGTGACTGCATCGCTGATCAATGTATTCCTCTGTTCAGTCCTGACTCCTTTACTTCCTCGGATGCCATGTTGTTTCAGAGAGTGCCTCCCCATAAACTTTCTGCAAGCAAATCTTCCTTATAATGTCTCATGAGAAACCTGAACTAAGACAGTCTAGTCACCTAAGTCACCTAAGATTCTAACCTTGGGGACCCAGGAGAACAAGTCTCACCCATCTGAAGGTAGACCTCCGGGCCACCTGAGTCTCTGAGCCAGTTCCCTCCACCAGTCCTCACAGAGTGTGGTGTGCATCCTACATCCTGGCTGTCCTCCACCAAATGCCCTCCTGCCGTGTGTTCCCCGACGATAAAGCAACTAATCGGAAGTCCCTGAGTACATCAGACGTGGTCTGACAGGACAGGAATGAGAATGTGACTGCGTCGTCCTTGGTTCTAGAGCTCTGGCTGCACATTGGAACCAAGGGTGAAACGTTAGAAATACAAATTCCTCACCTTCCTCCCTCTCTACCCCCTCCCCCCTCCCAGGTCCTGATTCAGAGGGCCTGGCCACAGCAAGGACACACAGTGCTACCAGAGCTTCCCAGGTGATTCTGGTTGATATCAAGATGGAGAGCCACTGGGCTCAGTGTTCCACTTCAACTCAGCAGCCTCAGAGTCTGTCTGCTTCTCTGGCAGCCTTTTCATTTGACTCATATGGAGCTGGCTGTCAGCAAAAACCCTCAGTTTTATTCACACTTGCTTCTGCTAAGCCGCCACTTCCCCACCCTGTCCTTGCACAGTCGGTGCCGTGGAGCCAAGCCCAGATCTCTGTTAAGCCATGTTCATTTCACCTTTGAGGCTCAGGCTGTGACTCGTTAGGGGGTTTTGGGATCCTGAGTGTGTCTCCCAACGCACCCCCTGTTCTCACTGACTTCCTGTTATTCACAATAACTTCCTGTTATTCACAACATTGAGGGGCTTGCTCCCTGTGGCTTTGCCCAGGTCCTGATAAAAAGATGGACAGGACAGGAATAAGGACAGAAGCAAGCCATCTTCCCGAGGGCCTTCCTTATGTGCAATGCACCATGCCCACCTGGAGAAGGACATCGTCTAACTTATTTTCCTCACACTTAGGAAAATGGGTTCATTTCACAGACGGGTAAGCAGAGGCAGGGAAGATGCGGACTATGTCCAAGAATACCCTGCTGTGGCAGGGGCCAATCCTTTCCTGCCATCTACAGCTCTACATCTCCCAGAGGAAAGGTGGGAGATAAAAGTGACAAGGTTGACCCTTCTGATTAGAAAAAAGAGAGATTTTTAGAGCTGGAAGGAATCTTAGAAACAATCAAAAGCTAACAGATTAGAGTGCTCAGGTAACTTGCCTAGATCACACAGCAAAAACCTTTCCTCTGTTGGAAATTACAATCTGGGTTTCTTGAGAACGATCCGGTATTCACTCCGCTACATCTCCAAATAAGTTTGGTCCAAAATGGCACTTCAAAGGAAACACACATGGGACCGGATCTTTTCTACTTCTAAGTCCCAGATGTTTCCCTCTATGATTCTAGAAGGGCTTAGTTTGGGAGGAGAGGCAACATCTCCCTCCTGGGCTTCTACGGAAAACTCTTAATCATCTCTCCTCTCCTACATGAGGAATTAGAACCTCAGCACCTGCTATCCAGCCTTGTTCCTTCCTCCATTCACACTCAACTCTGTGTGTAGAGGGTGGCTGGATCTGGAGCCACAGATGGACATAAACAGACTGATGGACAGCTCCTGCTGTTCACTCTACCTCATCAGCTGTGGGGGCTGTGGTGGTGGGAGGCTGGCACTCAACTTCTTGAGTTCTGGTCATCTGGGGGACAGCCTGCTTCAAGTCTACAACCAGGAACACCCCTAACTCGGCCTGCCCTGGGAAGGTGGGTCCAGCCCCTGATCCACACAGACTGCTGGGGGCGGCGGGGGGTGGGGGGGACACAAATAAAGAGCAAGTCAGTGAAGATATTTGTTATGGAAAGAGTAGCATATATACTGAGGAGGACGTAATAAGAAATTGCGTTGCTCCTGTCAGTGACTGCTGCTACTCCTACCACTACTAAGCTGAGGCATTGTATTAAGTACTTTATATTCATTATAGTATTTAGCTCTTACAACATTCCTTGAAACATAGTTATTTCCATTTTACAGGTCAGAATGTTGATGCACAGGAAGGTCAGGAAGGTTAAGTATCACAAGATAAACCAGCTAGTGAGTGACTGGGTTCATAGAGTAGTGAATTTGGCTCATGTGTCAGACTGAGGAACAGACCCCAGAGGATGTCACAGCAGCCTTCCTCATTCCAAAACGAAGCTAGCCATTGGCCCAAGAGGCACAACAGGCCTCAGGGCTCCTGAACCCCAACTGCTTCATCAGGGAAGTCACGGCATCAGCTTAAGAAACCCACCTAATCTGACTCACTTGTTGGCTAGTAACCAGGTCACCGGAAGATCTGAGTTCAACTTCCACCACTAAACTTCTCTGATGAGCAGATTGGGAAACCTCACACAAGCTGCCAAGTGAGCCAATGAATTCGGGTCCTGCCTCCGAGGCTTTGGGCCGCCACCATCTCCCCGGGAGGCAGCGATGTGCTGACTGTAAGTTCCCCGTGACTTGTGTGGCCCGGAGCTCACACGTGCAAACTCTCCAGTGTAGGTGCCTCCACCATCACAGCTGACACAGACCCTCCAGCGACTTTGCTCAGGATCTGCCCTCCCTTGATCCCCAGCCTTTCCCCAGGAGGCACGAGCTTTTCAGTGTGCCCAGTAGGGGGCATCGTCGCCCTTCCACCTTCTGCTCTGGAAGCAGGAGAGAAGGGGAGAGATTGGCAGATTGCCTGAGGCCCTCTGCTCAGCTCAGGCCAGGAGCACGTTTCCCAAACTGGGTATTCGTGACCTCCTGCTTTCTCCATAGCCATCCTACCATTATTTATACAGTAGTAGTTTTCTTTGTCAATACACATGTTTTAAAAGCCTCGGTATATTTTTAAAAGAAAAAAGCCCTTTGATGAAGGTTTTCCCAGCTTCCCTCACTGCGTGAATTCCCTGCATTCTAAGGGCTGCTTTGCAGGGTATGGAAAGGAAAATACAGGCCCCGCGGAAGCTACAGTGGGGTTCTCAAGAACTTGCTCCAGGCAGTGCCATCACTGGGTAAAGACGGGTGAGGATTTATCCTGTGGATCCATAGCTTCACTCTTCAGTGCCAGAGTGGAAGGATCGGAGTAAAATATCCTGAACTCCCTGCTTTCCTGTGGCACCCCCAAACCTGTCTCTCCCCTGCTACCTCTCCCCCCACGCCCCAAGGGAGAGAGAAGGGATTGTCTTTCCAGGCCCAAAGTGGCGAGAAGGCTGATGGCTGCAGGGCAGATAAGAGGGAGGGACGTGGGTGCAGGGCCAGAGGTGGCTGCAGGTGACAGGTGCAGGGGCTTTGAGAAGGAGCTGGGATTTCCCTTGCAAAATCTATTCAAACAGACAAACAGGGAACCTGATCCCAGGAGGGAACCAAAACTACAGGGACACCAGAGGGGCCCTTGGCTAGAGGGATGGGAAAGGAGAGAAGGGGGGGGCAGCAGCATTTGGAGGGAGGGGTGGGAGGATGAGGGCAAAGGGCAAAGAAGCTGGAGGATTCCCCAGCTGCTTCCACAGGCTCAGTCAGGCCTTGCTTGCTCCAGGCTCCATCCCAAGTCTTAGAATTGCTCTCCTAGAGGTTATTTTAGTGCTGGGAGTCCCCTTAGCTCCAGCCCCACTAGCTCCCACCCCCCTGACCTGGCCCAGACTGGCCAGCAGAGACAGTTCTAGGGCCTGAGGATCTCACAGTCGTCAGGGGCTGGCACAAAGGCTCATGGCAGAACCTGGGGCAGAAAACCAGGCCCCGAGAGGGAAGGAAGTCCTGGGCAGAGCTCCCTGCTCCCCCAGTTGAATTAGCAAGGGCGATAAGCAGATCAGATTAAGCAAGAGGAAGTGGGTTGGCTGAGCTGGGCCAGGACTGAGCTCCCTGGGCTGGGGCAGTGTAGAGGCCCTGCAGGCACCCAGAGCAAGTGCCCAGAGCCGAGGCCTCTGCGAGCAGCCTCCTGCCTCAAGTGTTCTCACCCAGGCTCTGGGCACAGGTCAGAGGAGGGGGCCTGGCAGGAGAGCCTCGTGAAGTCTGGTGGCCAAGGGTGGCTCAACTGGCTGTGTGTGAGGTTGGCTGGTCAGCAGGGCGTCCAGGTGTCGGGCCAGGCCTAGAGGTCCAAGAGGGGAGAGTCACGTGTGGGGGGTGAGGTGTGTGATTGCCTCACTTGCACCTCATTTTCATGGGGAGGAAGCGTTGAGAAAGAGGAGCTGGGTATTCAACAAACTTTGCTTATTCAAAAATGTTCAGTCCCAGCTGGGCCCTGCCCCACCCTCAACTCCCACTTGCAGGGTGGTCCCAGCTCCTCGGGCTCTGGGAGAAACCCTGGTGCTTTGGACGCCACCTCTGTGGAAGTCCCTTCCCTGGTCACCTCCTTGCTTCCTCCCCTCAGTCCTTGCCTGCGCAACAGTATCCCCAGATGGCCCCACATTATTCCTTCTCTAGCCCCCCGGCCGCATCTAGGGGAGTAGGAACTACTTCTGGGACCGGGAGGCCCCAGCTCCAAGCAGACCAGACCTCCTGACTGCATCCTGAACAGCAGCGAGAAGGAAGCCCTGAGCAGGAAGTGCTGAGGCACTGCGTGAGGGCGGGGGCTTCGAGGAGGGGAGCCGGCCTCCCAGGGCAGGAGCAGTAACCACAGCCCCCCACTGCAGGCAGGCAGGAGGAGGCTGATTTAAAAGGCAGCGGGGCCTCTGTCCGAAGCACTCAGCTCTGCACCCAGCCACTGCCACCGTGGGCTGCAGGAGCACCCAGACTTCCGGACCAGCTCCGGGCGGGTGCCATGTGAGCCCAGCTTGGCTCTCCTCCTGCCCGCCCTCCTGCTGCCGGCCTCTGCCTTGTCCAGCTTCTCCAAAGAGGAACACTTGGCACCATGTCTCTGCTCAACCCTGTCCTGCTGCCCCCGCAAGTGAAGGCCTATCTGAGCCACGGGGAGCGCTTCATCAAATGGGACGACGTGAGTGGGGCAGGGCTGTGGGCCGCGGGGACACGGGTAGCAGGCGGGGCTGCGAGGTGCTTTGCCAGGGTGGTGGGTAGGTTTATGTCTGTCAGGACTCGGGCGCCTGTGTGGCTTGGCCAGGCAGCAGACACAACTGCCTGGATAAACAAACCTGGGGCTGAGGGTGTGTGCCCCAAACATATGTTCCTGGGCTGCGGGGCTAAGGCTCTGTGTCTGGATGTGAGAAGCTGGAGGGCTGCCTGGGAGGACGGTTCTCCGGTCCGGGTGGGTGTTTCCCCATCGCCCCCAGGGTGCGCTGCTCCTGGTCCCGGCTGAGTGGGAGGAAAGTGCCCCAGGGCTGAGGCAGGGCCAGAAGCAGCGGTGGACCAGGGCCTGCTCCCAGCGCAGATGCCCCACTCTTGCCCATTAAGATTGTTCGCCCCTCACCACCCGCCCCGTCCCTGTCCCTGTCCCTGTCTCTAGCCCAAGAAAGCCCTGCTCTCCCCAAAGTGGCTGCAGGGCAGCCCCTAAAGGCCCCTGCACCCCGAGTAAGAACTGGGGCTTCTGGTCCCAGGGGCCCCGGAAGGAATGGATTGACTTCTGCTTCTGCGGGCTGCTCACCCGGCTCCCTGCCGCCTGCCTGTCTGCAGGGGAAGGGGAAGGCACTGCTGTGCCCTGTAGTGTGTCTCCACTGTGTCTGCTCCTTCCCAAACTGGGGCCTGCCTCCAGCCTCTGGTCCTCCCAGACCCCAAGGGCCAGGGATGCTCTGGGGCAGGTGAGGAGAGCAGGGAGGGGAGGCTGCTGGGCTGGCCCTGTGTGAGAGGCAGAGGGGCTGGACCCAGGAAGGGAACATGAAGGCCGGGGCAGGGTGTGGGGGTGGAAGAGAGGGCTTTAGGGCTAGCTAGTCCTCCTCACAGGTGGGATGAGGGGGCTCTGGGTCTGTGAGTTAAGGTAGCCTGGGCTCTCGGCCGTTCAGGGCTGGGCTGGGCTGAGTAATCTGGTTGCCATGACTGTGGGGAGGAGGCCATGGCCAGATGCTTTCTGCTTCCCTTGGGGTGTGTGGTAGATGTGGCATGGCAGCGGCCTGTCCCAGGAGCCTGTGGAATGAGGGAAGTGGCTCAGAATGAAAAGCGAAGTGGCCTCTCTCGGTTCCTCTGGGAAGTGTGCGTAACCCGGCTGGGCAGAGGGTCATTCGGGGTGGGGGCATGCTTTGTGGCCTTCTCTGCAAGCCACCTGGGTACTTGGCTGCCCCCTCCCCTCCCCCAGGCAGGGCACTGCAGGGCCCTCAATCCTGATTTCCACAGCAGGCACCGCCCACGCCCAGCCACAGGCACATGGACCTATGGCCAGGGCTCTGCTCTCAGACTATTCAGCCCAGCTGGCAGGTGGCTTGGGTACGCCGTGCCGTGTTGCATAAGCACAGCGCACAGGATGTAATGAACTCCCAACTGCATGCTGTCTCCTGTGCCCCTTTACAATGCATTTGCTGGGAGAAGCTCTCCTCCCGCCGTGGAAGGAAACTCAGGCAGCCACAGGCAATCCATTTGCTCTCGGGGAACACAATTCTATGGTCACTTTTCCTCGCAAAGCCAAGTCTTCTTTCAGAAACAGTTATCATGAAGAGCTCCAACCTTTATTTAGAACAGTGATGGCGAACCTATGACACGCGTGTCAGAGGTGACACGTGAACTCATTTTTTTTGGTTGATTTTTCTTTGTTAAATAGCATTTAAACATATAAAATAAATAACAAAAATATAAGTCTTTGTTTTACTATGGTTGCAAATATCAAAAAATTTCTATATGTGACACGGCACCAGAGTTAAGTTAGGATTTTTCAAAATGCTGACACGCCGAGCTCAAAAGGTTCGCCATCACTGATTTAGAATGACATCTTCTGCCCTCCTCCCGCTAGGAATGGTTTGAGGTGTCTGCAGGCCTCTGGCGGGGTTTCCTGCTCCTCCTCCAAGACCCGCCAGGGGTGGGGTGCAGGGAGGGAGGTGAGAAAGGGGTATCAAAGGGCTTCATTGAACAGGCATCATCATCAACTGGCTCGTGCTCTCTGTGCCTGGCAGGCGGTTTGGGCTGATTCTTTCTTTGGTGCACATTTTTAAGGATTCTCAGGACCTCTCCACCCTGCACTGGGGTCCTCTTGCTTAGGGCCCTCCTGCTATCTGTATTCCAGGCCACTTGCAATGGCTTCTTCAGTCTCTCCGAATCCAGCTTCCTATAGCTTTGGACTTTGCCCCTCTCTCCCACAGGCCACGCTGGACCCAGCAAGTGCACGTGTGTGCATGGTCCCAACAGACTCTGGGGTCCGGCTGCTCTCGCACACCAGGGTCTCTCTGCCTCCAGCCGTCAGCTGGTCTGTCACCAACTGTTTCCTGGGCAGGAGTCAGGCCCCAGTCTGTTATGTCCCACAATAGCAGGGGTGACAAAATCTCTCCAAGTGCAGTTAAACCTCTCACTAGGCTTAAAGTGAGGGGTCAGGCACCCCAATCCTCCCTTGGGGAAGGAAGGGAATGGAGCTCACAGCACAGCTTTCTCCAAAATTAGCCTCCTCACAAAGTGTCCTCTTTCTCCAGTCCATTAAGCACCCCAGATCTGAGAACCTTTTTTGACTATTTCCTTGGTAAATGCTGCACCTGACTTGGTTTGGGGTGCAGGGACTACCATGTTTTGTAGGAAGCTTCAACTTTAATATCTTGTTATATATGCATACGAATCATTGCAATCAGAGGTAGCCTGTGTGCTCCGTGAACGGAACAGGAATTTAGAAGTGAGTTCATTCATCCTTCATTCACTCTTTTAGCAAAGCTGGGGCACGGGGCTCATGGTCTAGTGCGGGCTTGTTTCCTGAGAGTCCGAGCCCCTGGGGATTTCCTGGATGGGTTTCTAGGTCTGAGGATAAGCCCCTCTCAGGCTGTTTCAGAAAAGGCTTTTCTGAAGCCATGAGGCTTCTGCTGGTCCGTATGGTGTTTCAGGCAGGGAGGGTTGGAGGTGAAAACGCACTTGGTATCTATGGGGCATGGGTGGATGGGGGGAGCAGTTCATGGAGGGGAAGACTGAGCGTGTGTGAAGTGAGGTTTTTAGCCGGATGGTGTAGGGCCGTGGTTGGCAAACTGCGGCTCTCGAGCCACATGTGGCTCTTTGGCCCCTTGAATGTGGCTCTTCCTAAGCCTTAGGAGTACCCTAATTAAGTTAATAACAATGTACCTACCTATATAGTTTAATTTTTAAAAATTTGGCTCTCAAAAGAAATTTCAATCGTTGTACTGTTGATATTTGGCTCTGTTGACTAATGAGTTTGCCGACCACTGGTGTAGGGCCTTGGATGCAGGTGTGGGAGTTGGGTTCTTGGCTCTCACTGTTGAGCAACCCTGGAGGTGATATGGACTCTTAGGAGAGATATTCTACACCTTTGACTGAGCTGTGGCTCTTACGAACAGGATGCAGTGGAGGCCAAGACCCCGTTTGGGGTCTAGAGGGAGAACCTCTCTTTGGGGCTTAGAGAGGGAAGCCCTCTTTTCTCCCAGAAATACCACCTCCAATCCTCTACCCCTTTCCTCCCCTGGTGCAGAGCTTTTGAGGCTTATGCCCAGCCTTTAGCTCCACAGGATGAGGGAAATGCCTGCAGATTCCCGGGACAGCCACCTCCTAGGGAGATGGTGAGCTCCAAAACGCCCGGCGTGGGCCAGGGAAGCTTGGCCTGGAGTCTCAGAGCAGGGCGCTGCCTCTCTCTCTCCACAGGAAACAACATTAGCCTCCCCGGTCATCCTCCGTGTGGACCCCAAGGGCTACTACTTGTACTGGACATATCAGAGTAAGGTGAGGCAGCCCCTCCTAGTGTGGCCCTGAGCTCCTGCTAGTCCATGGAGTCAAAGCGGCCTCGTGGCCATGGGGGCTGGAGGTGCCTGCTGGGAGTGTAGAATGACCCCGCTGGTGGCTCTGGGGGATCTCCCGTGAGGGGGGGGCTATTTGCTTTGGGGGGCGGTGCAGTCCCTCCAACCACGGCTGCCTTCAGCCTAGATGCTCCGGCCTTAGCTGGAAAGAGAGAGAGAAGGGGAAAAAGCTGCTACTGAAGGCTGGTTCTCTGCCTGTTGTTCCAGGTGAACGTGAGGGCTCAGAGAGATCAGGGACAGGCCTCAGCACCCAGGCAGAAAGGAGGGAGGGAGAACCTGAGGAAAGTCCAGGATGGTGGAGGCGAGACCGCAGGCTACCGGGTCCTGAGTAACTCGAGTGGCCAGGGAAGGAATGGACAGAAGGGCAGCCCCACACAGTCTTAGCATCTAGAGAGGGCGGTTAGCTGGGATATGAAGGGGTGTGGAAGCTCCCTCCTCCCTGCTCTATGTCCACCTCCCTTATTTTCCCCCCTGGATCCCCCCAGGAGATGGAGTTTCTGGATATCACCAGCATCCGGGACACCCGCTTTGGGAAGTTCGCCAAGATTCCCAAGGTAGGTGGGCCCAGTAGCAGCGCAGGCTCAGCATGGTCACCGGCTCCGGCTCCACGGGGCTGGGGCAGGAGCCCTGGGGAGTGAGGAGAGGTCCCTGGGCTGGGCAACCGGCCTCCTCCTGAGCCGAGCAAGGGGCATGGCTGCTCCTGTCTCAAGGCCAGCCCTTGCCCCCAAATCACCCAGGCTGTCTGGGGTGTGGCTCCCAACCCCCCTCCCAACTCCCTGACTGGTTTGCCTATATTTGCTTAATGCTCATAGAAAGATTGGAGGAAGGGATTGGGGGAGCAGGATTCCCTGAGCCAGGGAGCTAAGAATCTAGATTCAAATGAAAAAATGGCAAACAAAATACACAGGACTCCCAGACCCCATGGCCTGGGTTCAGCTCTCTGGTGGGTTTCTCCCTCCCAGCCCCAGGCCCTGAAGGCGGGGATAGGAAGATGCTGGGGCCGGTGGCTCCTAAGATGGGACTGGGATTCTACCCCAGTGGCCGAGGGGGAGGGACAGCAGCGCCACCGTGGGCAGGGGCGAACCTCACCATGTCCCCTTTGCTGCAGAGCCAGAAGCTCCGGGAGGTCTTCAACCTGGACTTTCCTGACAACAACTTCCTGCTGAAGACACTCACTGTGGTGTCTGGCCCGGACATGGTGGACCTCACCTTCCACAACTTCGTCTCCTACAAGGAGAACGTGGGCAAGGTGCATTGGGGTCACCGGGCCTGGGGCCCGGCGCCGGGCATGGCCTGGACTTCCTGAGAGACAGGCCTGGGCCGGGGGGTGGCGTGGCCACCTTTGAGGTCAGGGGCCTGACTGCTGTGCTCTGGGGTCCTGCAGGACTGGGCTGAGGATATACTGGCGCTGGTGAAGCACCCGCTGACATCCAACGCCCCCCGCACCACCTTCCTGGATAAGATGTAAGTGCCTGCCTGGCTGGCCTTAGAGGAGGGGGGGGGCTGAGTGTGCCAGCCCAGGGCCTGACAAGCTGCTTTCTGCCCACCAGCCTGGTGAAGCTCAAGATGCAGCTCAACCCTGAAGGGAAGATTCCTGTGAAGAAGTGAGTCTCCCCCGTTCCCTCCCCACACTTCCACCCAGCTCTCCACAGCCTTCCCTCTCCAGGCATGACTCCTCTCTTTGTCTCAAGCCTTCCTCTGCTCCTTTAGTTTTTTCCAGATGTTTCCTGCTGACCGAAAGCGGGTAGAAGCTGCCCTCAGTGCCTGCCACCTCCCCAAAGGCAAAGTGAGTGGTTCCCCCCTCCCCACCCCACTGTTCTCCTTGTCCCCTGAGCTGGCTCTGACCAGGAGGCAACTTGGCCAGGCCTGGTGGGGGTTGGAGAGGGTAAGAATGATAGCACATTCCCAGCAAACAGCCCCAAAGCCAGCTAACTCTAGAAGCGCTGGTTTCTGATACACA